AAAGGCCGTCCCCCCTCCCCCCCGCCGCCCCTGGAGAGCCAAACTACTGGAATCGCGAAAGCGTTTTTGTTTCTAACCGCACTTGTCGTTTTTTTTAGACTTATTTGGTAGGTCCTCGGCCCTATGTGTCCGCAGAAGCCCTTTTGCGGTAGAAATGCTGTGCCCATGGTTGAGTTTATCCGGATGCTTCGCGACCAAAGAGACCAGGAAGGTCGAACAAAGTTCCCTAGGCGCCTCAATGGCCGCTTAGCATCACCTCCCTTAGTAAAAAGGGAGAACGGCAATTGCATTCCCATAATATTGGAATCTGCCCAAATGGAAAAGGAAGTGGAGGACAAGGATACACTAACTGTTGAACCGATAGAAGCAGTAGTCGTCAAAAAAAAGCGGCCACGAAGCACGCCTTTTGACGAAAAATACGAAACCAGATTTGTACCATCACCCTTCGCCTGCGAAATATTGACCAGGTCATCTAAAGGAATGTACAGCTCGACTTACGTAGATATTGAACTATCTTCACTTGGTCTAGAACCTTTGGTCAGGGATATTGCGGAGTCACGTAGAAAGGGAAAATTGTTGACCGGAGTTCGGTGTTGCTATTTGCGTTTAGGCACGGCTCTTGTAGTGAGTGGATGCATTGTGGAAGTAAACGTCACGGACTTTACTGCACAGGTTGTTCCAGACAAGGGACTTCGCCTCGATGTTGAATGGGTTGATATAAAAAAACTGTATCATATTCCGGATGATCTTACAGAGGTACGGAAGACAGTATCTGAAAGGGTCTTTGCGTTTCTACAGCGGGAGGCTGAGAATGCGACACCCGGAAATAATAATTGTGAAGGCTCCGCACAGAACGAGGAGGAGGATTTCCAAGCATCGCAGACTCAATTTGACTATGCTTTAAATGCTGGTCGTCGTCTTTCTGCGGATGCTTGTAGCGAATAAACGAATGTCATTGTGTATGTAATACGATTTTTCTAGCGGCCTGAAATCCGCCTTTTTTCTTTTTTTCTTTTTATTTGGTTGACAAAAAAGGAGGTAAGCTGTTTTTCTTGGTGTTTGGCTTCCCTTCTCCGCATTATTTCGAGCACATTTTTCTTTAGGTTTGCTTCTCAACGCTTCTTCCCTTTTTATCATCCTTTTTTTGTATATATTAATTAGTTCGTGCTGCTAGTGGCTTTCCGCGAATGAAAACTGTTATTGCTGACTCGCCATGTCGTTGCTTATTACCAGAGGTGATTCATACGTCGACGAGAGAGCTATTGGCGTCGACGAGAGAGCTGTTGGAAACCAAAGTCGTCTTTGTTGAGTCCCTTCCAAAGGCTCTTCCTTATGATGAGCTTTTGAAGCGAGTTGAAAACATCGAATTTGTTAGCGTTGAAGCAAAACTGTAGCTACACGCGAAGTATCGGAGGCCGCACCCCAAATTCTATCCGTTAGTTGCTTTTGCATTGAAGCCGATAGAGTTGATCATGATTTTGCGAATGAGCGAGGTGCTCCAGTTTTCGGCTCCTTTTTGCCAACACACGTAGTGTTGCAGAACTCGTCTTTGGGGAGACCATATGTCATTTCAAGAGAAGCTTTTTTTTTTTGACAGAAGCACTGAGATACATTAAGGGATAAAGAGCAAAACAAATAAAGACTTCGGCAGAGTGCGTGGCAAGACTCCGGGAATTATTGGCTATGGAGATATCGGATTACAAGTTGACGCCCTTGAATAATTTCTTGGGATGCGCGTTATGCTTTATGATGCGGTGCCTGAACTTGCCTTAGCTAATACACAACGACTGAATTGTGTCGGTGGCATTCTGGTTGTATCGGACTTTGTGACAGTTCATGTCACAGAAACGCCTTTGACTAAAGGTATATATAATGCAGAGAAGCTTAAGATGAGGAAGAAAGGCGCGTGCTTTCTGAATTTAATCAGAGATACCATTGGTGGTTTGGATGCTTTGGGGGGTTGCTTGCTTGAAGGGCATCTTGAATGGGCAGTTGTCGTTGTCCATCCTGTTGAACTTGAAGGTGCGGAATAGAGGTTCGAGTCGCCTTTGCAAGGCATCTCCAAGGGAACGCTATTCTAAACCCACATATCGGTGGATCAACCATGAAGACACAAAATGCTATTGCCATTGGGATTGGGACTGCTTTTGTTTAATTTGTGACGAGTGTTTTTACCACAGAGGCAGTGAACTTCCCTGAATTTTCCCCTCCTGAACTTTTTGGAGGTTCACACCACATTACAAGCTTACATGAAAATGTGCCTGATGCATTAAGTGTAATCAAACCAGATTGTTGATATTAACTGTAATATTGGTTCGCAATACCTCTCGACTAAGGGACAAGTTGCCTATCTTGTCATGGATGTGGAAAAAGACGTACCACAGGAAGTGAGGAAGTGCATATCCAAATCAGATTCCAGTATACGCAGCTTGGTTGTCGAGGAGAGCTTCTTACAGATGATTAATTGCTCAATCAGGCATATATATATATATANTGTTTTTCCCTCATTCCTTTTTTGTGTGCCTGTGAGGGCGATGAGTTATATTTATCCTTTTAGGAGAAGAATATGGTTTGAGAACAAAAAAAAAAGTGTGATTTAATAGTGTCTTTCTCCTGATAAACTTTCTAATAAGAATGATATGGTCTTTTTTTCTGTTGGAAATATGCTGTTTTTCATTTTTTTTCTTGTTGGTGTTGTGAACCTCCCTTCCCTGATGAGGAATGTCGGAAACATGTGACGGGATGCAGATGCCGATTCTCTTCTCTTCTGGGCCTTTGACGACCACGGATGCAGTGAAGTAGGTTATGCCTGTGGACTGCGCTAGTTAGGACAAACGCTTTTGAAGAGGCTGCGAAATATGATAGGGAAAAGGTGTTTACCTTTGCTATGCTAGAGCCAGAAGAGTAGATGCGTATTTTGCAGTAAGGGGCAAGTATCATGGCTATAGAGACAGCCATCTCCACCACCTTTACAGAGACAAAATGGGAATTTCTCCTTCGAAGCAGCAGGAAATATTCTGAGCGAGAAAGGAAATTTGTTGAGCATTTGAGATTCCTAATGCTCTCTTTGAAGTCCGATTAGGGGAAAGAAATTGATATTGGCATTTTGAAGTGCCTTTTATTATTGAATATGGATATACTAACAGTTCCATTTTTACGTCATGAAGCCAGTACAGGGATGATATACCCTGCTGAAGATCTTGCAGTAATTGTGCAAGAGGTCATTTCTAATGCCGTTATCATTATGGATGCTATGAACAGTTTCAGAGCCATCCCTGTGAACGTTGCAAGGGTTTGTGCTATTCTCATCACCTCGGCAAACAAGTGATTTCATGGCGTTCATGGCTGTTCTATCATACTCGCTCAAAAGAAACTGATCAATATATGAAGTCTCGACGCAGTGGATTGAACTTGTATGCCCAGTACTACTCATCTGAAAAAAAGCCTGGGCAGCTTATCATTCCGCCACCTGTACACGCCATCAGGCTATTCCGCCAGGCTATGAGCGGATATGAAAGAGAAGGCGGCCTTCTGAGCCGAAGTCAATCTTGTGCGTCAAGGTCTCGGATTGCTGTTGAAGAGCCACGAGGTCTGGGATTCACGTTGTTTCTTGACGACACAAACCCTTCCTTGGGGTATTTGGCTCTATGTCTCAATATGCCAACAGACCATTGATGGGACTTGTAAAAAATCTTATGACTTTCTAACTCGGAAAGGCTTCATCTACACAGAAAAAGCTTCACACGCCGAAACATTCAGAATCGAAATTATTGGTTGTGCATCTTGTGTAGATGTATGGAAGTTGATGATGTGTGCAACGGAATCGCTTATGTTGATAGGAATACCGAAACTAAGGCCGATGAGCCGTTTTTAAAGGATACCGCATCAAATATTGTCTCAGTAATGTGACTTCTGCATTGTTAACCTGTCCTCGCCGTTGCTTTTTTTTTTGCTCTTCTTTTGATTCTCTCATGGCCATTAGTTTCCTTGACCGTTCTCTATGAATTCGTATCTTTTTTTTTGGGTACGTTACCTGCAGTGCATTTCAGTCATTGTTTTTTTGGACCTTCATCATCTGTGACATGCGTTTTGTGTTGTTTCAATCCGACACAAAGCGAAACCAAAATGTTCTGGGAATCAGCGTCAATGTTGTCTTCTGTTCCCCCATCATCCCTTCCTTTCCATTCTTTCCTCCAGATTGTAGGTTGCAGTATGCCCACTAATCGTGTTGGTGCCCCTGTTTTTTTTCTTACTCTGGAGCATGAATGGGTACTTGGAAAAGTTACCGCGTATGATCCACATACCAAGACATATAGCTGCTCCTCAACTGATCCAGTGTTTGTAACTGTTGATAGCGTGCCGTACGATCCCAAAAGGTTGTGGTTACCACAGCCAGAAGCTCTGAGTGAAGATGTTGATGACCTTCTCAATCTCACAGAGCTTCATGAGGCCTCACTGTTGTTCTGCTTAAGGATGCGCTATTTGCGAGATGTTGTGTACACCAATATCGGGCCTATCGTTGTAGCTTTGAATCCCTTTAACTATTCGATCCCTTGGTATGCTGAGCCGAAGATGGAGAATTACCTTGTAGAAGATGTTATAATTGAAAAGAATTTGCCTCATTCATGGGCAACGGCTCACAACACTTACTGGGAAATGAGAGAGAACGGCCTTAATCAGACCATACTGATCAGTGGCGAGAGTGGTGCAGGAAAAACGGAATCGGCCAAGATTGTACTGAGATACCTTGGTGCGTTGAGTCGTAAAAATGGCACGCCTCAAGATCGGGAGAGTTATCTACAGGTAAACAAGCGTGTTCTAGCTGCCTCGCCTATTCTTGAGAGTTTTGGAAATGCAAAGACAGTTAAAAACGATAACAGTTCACGGTTTGGGAAATTTTCCAAGGTTCAATTTGACAAGAATGGTTTACTGGTAGGATGCCATGTGACAAAGTACTTATTGGAAAAGTCAAGAATAATAATGGCGGCGGCAGGAGAACGTGTTTACCACTCGTATTACCAACTGGCACAAGGACCTTTGGCAAATGAGTTTTCATTGAGGAACCCAAAAGTTTACCGTGTTCTTAACGCAGGGGGATGCATTCATATTGACGGTGTAGACGATGCCAAGGAGTATTTGGTTACAAAACAAGCTATGAACGATGTGGGTATAACTGAGGAGGAGCAAATGTCTATTTGGCGGATTGTAGCTGGAGTGCTTTTTCTACAGAATACAGATTTTATCGAGACAGAGGAGTGTGCTGGGCGAGTTGCAAAGATTGACTCTAACCTCCTGCCCGTCTTGGCACGCGCATGTGAACTCTGGGACATAAATGATAAAGAGTTCAAGAAGGAACTGGTGTCCACTTACATTATGACACAGAGAGAAGAAACAGTGAAGTATTTTAATAAGGTGAAGGCATTGGATACGAGAGACTCTGTTTGTAAAAGCCTGTATGATTGGTTATTTGACTGGCTTGTAGTAAAAATTAATCAGACTACCAATCGTGATGCAGTCACAACTCAATGGATAGGGCTTCTTGATATTTTTGGCTTTGAGGACTTTCAAAAAAACAGTTTTGAACAGTTGTGCATCAACCTTGCCAATGAGGTTCTTCAGGGTCACTACAATCAACATATTTTTGCATTAGATATGCGGGAGTGCCAAGAGGAAGGTATTGATACAACACAAGTGCCATTTGCTGATAACAAGGAATGTATTGATTTGCTTATGGGAAAGGTTGGGGTATTTACGCTTTTGGACGAAGAGTGTGCAGTGAGTGGTAACGAAGCGAACTATCTTCAGAAGCTGGTGGAAAAGTTTGGACCAGCAAAGTCTAAAGGGGGAAACGCGTACTTTGTACAAGCTGCTGGAAGAGGTTCGGATAATCAGTTTATCGTTAGGCATTACGCCTCTGATGTTCGCTATAGCGTCGATGGTTTCTTGGATAAAAACCGCGATGCATTGAAGGAGACAATGAAGCGGATTTTTTCGCGATCTGGAGTCGGGTTGATACCAATCATTTTACCAAAAGAAGAAAGTAAATTATCGTCTAAAGGGACTGTTGGTAGTTACTTCATTAGACAACTTGTGGAGTTGATGTCAGTGATACATAGTACAAATCCGCACTGGATACGATGTATCAAGCCTAACGTCAGTCGTCAACCTCGGCAGTTTTCTAATTCACTGGTGATGCAACAGTTGCGCTCATCAGGTGTATTGGAAACGATCAAAATCAGGAAATCTGGTTATCCTATTCGATTCAGCTTTACAGAGTTGGCGCAGCGGTATCGTGTTTTGTGTGGTAATGGTTTGCATGGTAGGGAAGCCTGCCAACAGATTTTACATAATTCTCAAATTAGCACATTGCAAGCTCAGCTTGGAAAAATGAAGGTATTTATGAAGCATGAGGCTTTTTCCAAGCTTAATCACGCCAGGGAGCGATCAATTCTCTGTTTTAGTTCTGTTCTCCAGGCTGTGGGTCGTGGAAGTCTAGCACGTGCTGCTCTTTTTCATGAGTATGCTGTGGTGCATCGCCAGAGAATTATGGAGGAGCGAAGAATCCGTCAAAGGGAGCTTAAACGGCAGCAGGAGCTTGAAGAAAACAGAAAAATGGCAGCTGAGGCCAAACGTAAGCACAGGGATTTGCTTCTTAAAGAACGACAATATAGGGCAGCTGTGCGCATTCAGAAGTTGGTTCGCGGGGGACTCACTAGGAAGAGGTTCCTCACAATGTATCTGTCAATCCTACGTGCGCGTGAGGAACATGTCCGTGACGATGAGCTTCAAAAGTATCGTGTGTATGAGATGAATGCCAATCGAAAAATACGTTCACTTGAGACTAGGCTCAGCGAAAAAAATGGGGGCAAGGAGGGCTTTGTGGCCCCACATCGTCGTGAAATGCTTCGCGAGAGAAGGGAGCAAACAATGCGTTTCATTCATGAAAGCCAGCTCCTTCATGACGTGCATCTGAAAGAAGCGGCTTCTCATGAAAAGGCAAGGCGTGCTAAGGAAGCAGCTGAAAGAAAGAGTCATATCCAAAACATGGGAAAATATGCTTCACAAGAGAAACAGCACAAAATAAGCGTCCTTCAGCAGGATGTGGAAAGGCGATTTGTTGACGAAATGCTCACAGAACTTGGAGGGTGCGTAGTGGACACGGGGAGAAATCACCAAGAGTATCGCAATCCTAACAATGCTCAGCGTTGCTGCCCCGATTCTGTGTTTAGTACAGTACGACAGCGCTGGGAACAAAAGGAGCGATGGGTGGACGAGCGAGAGCGACTCCTTGACCCGTTTCTTGGATCTCATGGCTCGCACCTGACAGCACAGCAACGTCGCCTTGAGGGCAATTATCGAGTTCAAACAATTTCAAAAGCCATGTGGAAGTCTGATGCAGAAAAAATTATTCTTTCCTACAGGCAGCAGTGGGGCTCTCACCGCGACGAAAGCAGGAAGGTTGACTGATGTATATGTTAGCTGTCTAGATTAATAATAAAAAGCCAAACATCCAGAACGTTCAAGCAACATCATGTTTTTGGTGGCGGTGGTGGTGTTGTACGCTGTAATTGGTACTGTAGTCTAAATTGCACTGTGTGAATGAAGTGAATAGCGAGTAGATGTGAAGGCACAAATGGAGGAAACAGGCCTTGTTTTCCAGAGAGAATGTTTCTGTAGATGGAGTTTTCCCCATTTGGAAGGATGGGTCTGTCTGTTTACGTGATTGGGGAGACGTTGTTTAACACTCCCTCTTCTTTAAAAGTTGGTCGTGGCGAAAGACAAAAAAGAAAAAAAAAAGAACTAAGAAACCGGGCGTAGTGTGTCTTGTGTGCCCTTGTGGATTAACCAGCTCCCCCCACAAAAAAAAGACAACAAGCAGGCATCTGTCTGTGAAGTTATTCTCACTGATGACGATTGAGGCTAAAGAAACCATGTTTGCAGTGAAGGCTTGTGTCATAGTAGGACCTTCCCTTCTGGTTCTATTGACAAGAAAAAAAAAAGGGAATTTCGCTGTTTTTCCTCTTCAGCTGTAATGGGTTGCTGTTGTGTATTGGCGCGTCGTGCGGTTAGTCGGAAAAAACTGCGAACAGTGGACACAGAAACGCCTGAGGGTGTCGTGGATTTGGATTTAGCGCGGATTCACAAACACATTGTTTGTATGGGTGTGCCGGCGTTTGGGTTGGAAGCATGCTACCGAAATCGTTTTGCGGATGTTTTGCGGTATCTCGACCACAAATATGGTGAGAACTACATGGTGTACAATCTTTGTTCAGAGCCAGAGCATCGCTACGACCTGAAACTATTTCACGGTCGAGTTCGCGAATACCCGTTTCCAGATCATTGGGCCTGTCCACTGGCAATGATAACGACTTTTGTTGCAGATGCTGTACAGTTCATTGCGCACGAGAGCCTCTCGGGTGAAGGCGTTGTAGCAATTCACTGCAAAGCTGGAAAGGGTAGAACTGGGTTACTCACGTGCTGCTTGCTGATGGTGATTGAACCATCTTTAAAGGGCTCATCAGTGATGGCTATCGAGTATTACGGTCGAAACCGCACTTCAGACGGGCGCGGTCTAACAATCCCGAGCCAGATACGTTATGTCAAGTATTACGAAGAGTTACGAAATCAGTATGGTGGCCAAGTTCCTGAGGATATTCCCGTCATTAATATCATTTCATTCCAGTTTCGCGGTATACTGGGTAAGGTAAGTTTTACGTCATGTAAATGGTATGTTGGCGGCAGAAGCTGCGTTATATCTTTGAAGAAGCCATACGATAGTACGGTTCGTGTTGTTAAATCCACCCGGCATGTCACAAAAGTTGACGTTTCAAAGCACGCTTTCTTCAAGGGGCTTTCACGTGACGTCCGTGTAGAGTTTCTTTCTGGAAAGGAGATTATTGGTGCTTTAACGTTCCATACCTTATTTATCGAGAATGTGTACAATTACACGGTATTAGATAGAGTCTGTAAATTAAAGCTACCAGAGGATGCAGGTATTTCGTTGGAGTTCGTATCGACATCACTTGCCTGATGTGAAATAAGTTCAGCGATGAGGTCTTGGCGGTTTTGTAACGGCCGAGCTGCAGTTTTGTGTTTATTCACCCTTCATCTTTTTTGTGTGTGCGTTTTTCTTCTCTTTCAGCATCACTCTTGTTGTCCGCCCTTACTTCTTATCCGATTTTATCAACCTTTATAATTTGGAGACGCTTCTGTTCTTCAGGAAGAAGACAATGAAAGGAAATCTGCTCCAGGCAAAGCTGGTCGTGATTGCTATTGCGGCAGCACTTCTGTGGTTGCTGCGAAGACATGTCCGACGTTTTGGGTGGTTCAGTTGCCCCAAGTTGGAGAGTGTGAAGAAAAAGAATGGCTCTTCCTCGAGACGTGATAGACCTTCCATTGCGGCAAGGAAAATCGACCTTTTTGTGGAGAGGGTCAAGGAGCAAGGCGTTATCAACGACGTGGAAGAGATTGTGCGGCTCTTCCCGAGGCGGTTTGAGACTTTGGGGCATGTTGTCGTTGTGAAGCTCAACCCTGGAGTCACACGTGAGAACTTTTCGCATTGTGCAAAGGCGTTTGCAGAATCCTTTTCCCCCCGAATTGTCGATGTTGTGTTGCTGGACACAGAGGGCATCGAGGGCGAGCTGAGGAAGCCGAAGCTGGGAATACTCTGGGCGAACGATGCTTCTCTCATCACAGCGCCTAAAGATTCCTTGCGGTACGCACTCAAACAAATAGAAGGGTCATCCTGCGTATCATCTGATGATATAGAAATGTTTGAGAGGTGTACAGAATCTTTGACATTTACAACACACGTGGAAAATGGTATCCGATACAGCCTTGACGTTTGCAAGGTAATGTTCTGCAGCGGTAATGGAACGGAGCGAATGCACTTCGCTACTGTAGCGGCGCGGGATGAAGTAGTGGTTGATATGTTTGCTGGTATTGGGTACTTTACACTGCCGTTGGCAATGCACGGCGCTGTTAAAGTTATTCACGCTTTGGAAAAGAACGCTGATAGCGTGGCGTTTCTTAAATACAACTCTGCCCAAAACAAGGTGAGCCACTTGATCCGCACCTACCATGGTGATAATAGAGAGGTGGCATCGGAACTGTGCGGCCAATGTGATCGGGTGCTCATGGGCTACATCCCGTCCTGTGAGGTCTTTTTGGCTCGTGCCGTTTCCTTCCTGAGACTGTCTTCACGCGGAAAGCCCACCGGGACGCTGCATTACCACTTCTTGTCGGAGAAGAAAACGGCCGTGGACACTGCTAAACAACACGTAAGGGCAGCGCTAGGGGAAGATATGATGTCCTCGATGTGTGTTGCTGCGGTTCGAATTGTGAAGTCGTACGCGCCAAAACGATTCCATTGCGTCGCAGATCTCATTTTCGAAGATGCGTGACGAAGCCCGACCAAAAGAAAAAAAAATGGAAAGGGACATATCCTTATTGAGCAAGCAAAGAGACCAATATTTTAATTATTATTTTTTTCTTTTCATTTGCATTGCTCTCCTTCCTGTCGGCCTCAAAGGGAAGGGAGGGAAGGAAAGAAGGATGGTGGAAAAAGGAAATTAAAATGTGTCTTTATTTCTCTTCCTATTCTCTAAGGATTTAGCGAAGCAGAAGATGAAGTCCTTAGAGGTGCAGAAGGACTCCATATTGGCGGCGATTGTGATGGAGTGCGTGAAGAACAAGTCGTCGGATGGCGCATACCAGAGCTCTGTCTTGTATCAGCGTTTAAGCTCACCAGAGACACGCAACTTGGTGTATCAGTGCTGTCTGGAGTTAGTGGAGGATCCTCAGCGGCGCAGAGATGTTGGCCAGCTGCTATTGAATTACATCTCTAGTTTTCCACCATCACAGGCAATCCTTCAGGGAATCACCAACAAATGCAGACCGTACGCGGCTAGTCGTTCCTCATACAGCAGTATTTATCAAGAGCTAAAGACTGTCGTTGACACCTATCTTCATCACAAACCGCTCAGTTACATGCTCGGGCGTACTCTTCCGCCAGGAAAGGAGGCACTGAGCTTCCGCCAGAATGAATTAAGTAGAAATCCTGTTTACATTCAAAAGTGCAACCTTCAGCCACCAATACCGCAACACACGGAGAAGGGGAAACGCATCGTGCCCCTATCCGGCTGGTCTGATGAAGAGTTTACGGCGACGGCGAGAGAGAAGAACAAGGCTCACAGTCGTCTCTGGACGGTGAAGTATCACGTCGTTGGGTGCAAGGAGTATATCAACCAACTACCCCTTGAATGCACTGATGCTGTCATTGAACAACAAGTGCGTGTGCTCAACTCGTTTTGGGAAAAGTATCCCACAAATCCTGCTGTCCTTCGAGCAACATCGTTTCTCATCAAGTTGATGTGTGACGCATATGTATCGAAGATACCCCTGCAATCTAACTACTCATTCTTCCGCTCAGTCAGCATTTGCTACCTTCCGACATTGTTCGAAATGATGAATAGTACTTACACATACGTTCGAAATCATGTGTATGACATCCTGCTAACGTTGGGCATGCACTTTCAGTTAGTGGACACGCAGGGAGTATTCCCAGGATGCACGGAGGCTCTTGAAGAGGAGTTGAGGTGGCTCCTATTGATAATTCTTCAGAAGCAATCACTTCATGAGGGTAGCGATGGAATGGTGTGGACGGCTGCGGCAAAATGTGCAGTGGCTATCATACCCCCACAGAAGCTTTATCTCATTGATGGTCGTGCCCTTTATCAGTTTCTAACACTTCCCACTATCGTCGCGTTTTATCCTCAGCTTTACACCACGTTCGCTGAGGCATTTGCAAAAAAGGTACTGAGGTGGGAACCTTCCAGTGACGATTTGGAAGATAACATGAGTTTAGATGAAAAAGAGTTTGAGAAAATAGGCCATCGACCCGTTGCCAGGCTGTTGCATTTGTACCGCCAAGCAATGACATCGAGTGCCCGCCTCGCATTTTTCCAGGTTCTCTTTACCCACGCGGTAAGTGTTGCACAGGGCTCAACCACTCCGTCAAAGTTCTACCCGGAAAACCTGAGACGCTGCTACAATGAACTAGTTAAGGTTGGCTTTCACTGGCATCTACACTCATTGCTATTCTACCAGTCACATCAGGTGTTTCGTGAACTACCAGGCCATATTACATATGATATGGACATAAAAGAAATGAGAGAGTGCAAGACTGAAGCAGTGGCCATCGTCCAGTGCATCCTGCAGATTGTTGAAGAGGATGCACGTCTGCCTGACGTAATTATGAGCGCATTTAGAAACACCGTAGGAACACGTGAAGAGAAGCGTGAAACACTGGCTAATGTGGTATCCGATTGCTTGTCCATGATTCCAGTCATGTTGAAAGAGGATACAGACGGTGTCTTGTATAACATTGGATGGCGCATGGTGTTTTACTGCATGCGTCTAAGCCGAGAAAATCTGTCGTCTGACCGTTGCACGGCGATGTTAGAGAAACTCTCGACAAATCTGGTTTCTTTCAGTGAGTCGAAGGATCGACTAGAACTGGCGAAAATCAGGGGAGTGTGTCCTGATGTGTTAGCTGCTTTAACATTTCTTGGACGAAAGCATCCCAATCAGGCAGTGGAGCCGTTTAGCATTTTGATTGAGCGATTTCTTCTCGACAGTGAGGTGATAGACATCCAGAGTGTCATGCACCTCTACTATCGGCTTGTTGGGTCAATCGTTATTCAGAATGGACCATTTAAAGGATCACCTCGGGCTGATCTGTCGCAGATGTTGTGTGGTGAGCAGCTTGTCACGGCGCAGTCTGTTGTGGATGGGCTTGGAGTTCGTTTGTTATGGGCTCTTTACCGAGCACTGTGCCCGCTGCAAATGTTTTCTACCTGCCGTGCACGCCATGTGGTGGCATCTCTTCTTGATGAGCTGGATCCTGTTGGCGGCAGCCGTCAAGCGCACTCGTGGAAAACGGTCATGGCGGATCCCTACCCACCTGTTGCCTTGATTGGGGCTCAGAAGATTCTGCAAATGTACGGCAGGACTGCGTATGATCGCTTTGATGAGGCGATGAGCATTCCGCAAAAGAGTGAGAAGGGAGACTCTGTGTACGTTCTCGCAATCAAGGTGGCGCAGCTAGCGGAGTCACGAAACGAGTGAGTGCCCTCACAGCGATATCTGTTTCGTGGCCTCCCTTTGCGAAGTTGTTGTTTCTATGGGTTCCCACATGCGCTTTGTGTTATTTTTTTTTTTTGTGTGTGTGCGGGGCTTCAACGATTCTCTGTTGCGCATCCTCCACTCCTTGCTTAAGGGCGAGTTCCTCGCTGACCGTTTTTATCTTTTTCTTGTCTTTCCTTCTCCTTGACGCTCCTCATGTGCCGCTCATAATTTCGGTCTCTCTTTTTGCTCCGTGTTTGCCTGCGCGTGCCTGTGCGGTTCTGTAACAATAAAAGTAAGGTATTAGTGGATTTTCATTTGCTTCTGAGCTTACGGAATTAAAAAAGAAAGCGATAATAAAGAAGTAAAGGCCCATCAAGAGAAGAATCACGGTGGAGGAACGGACGAAGGAAGCTGCAGATAGTACTGGAAGAGATGGAGGAACCTGTTTCCGCTTCCCCCCCTAACGCAGCGGACGGCGTGTGCCCGCAGCCCCCGACGGGCGAGGAGGGCGCGGGGAAAGGTCTGGCGCCCCTTCAGTCGGCCGCCGAAGGCGGTGCGGCAGCGAAGGCTTCCTCGATGAACTCACCCTTCTCCGCCACGAGAAAGGTGTCAGTAAAGGATCGTATAGAGGTGCAGAAGCAACGTAAGTTCATGTTCTGCGATGCTTGCGGCAAAGAGATTCCAATCAGTGAATGGCCGGATCACCGTGACCGCCTCAAGTCTGTAAGTTTTGTAACGACGCGCATGAGTGCCCTCCGCAAGCTTTTGATAAAGCTGTTTATAGATTTTTTCATGTGGGTCCTTATGAATGTTTACTTCCGCGAGGTAACAGTTGTCAATAAGGAAAATATCCCAAAGACAGGGGCCGTTGTATTCTATGGGAATCATCAGAATCAGTTTATTGATGCTATGATGATTCGTGCAAATTGCGGTAGGCCTGTGCGTTTTGTCATGGCTGAGAAATCGTTTGACCGGCCCATCGTCGGTCAGTTTGCCCGCATGATGGACGCTGTGCCTGTCGTCAGGCCGCAAGATTGTCCTCTCCTCCCTGGTGAGGGATCACTGGTGCGAATGGATGCAGATATTGTCTACGGGCATGGAACCACCTTCTCCACATCTCTTACCTCCGGGGATGTGATCATCTGGTTAAAGGGGATATCGAAGTGCTCTGCACAGGTGCACCGTATTCACTCCGATACGGAGCTGCAGCTGACCCTGCCGGTCCTTGCGGCGAATGTAGTAACACAAAAAACACCATTCAAGATATCACGCCGCATCGATCACTCTGTCATGTATGCCAGTGTGTACCAAACTTTACAAAACAACCAGTGCATTGGCATTTTCCCAGAAGGAGGTTCTCACGATCGGACATCTCTTCTCCCACTCAAGGCAGGTGTGGCACTCTTTAGTCTCGGTGCAGCAGAGCGGGGTATAACTGTGAAGGTGGTCCCCTGTGGGTTGACATACTTCTACGGTCACAAGTTTCGTAGCCGTGCCCACGTCGAATTTGGCGAGCCTATTACGCCTTCAGAGGAACTAGTGGCGCTCTTCAGCACCAACAAGCGTGAGGCAACAGGCATATTCTTGGAACAATTAAATGCAGAGCTGCGTAGTTTCACCATCAATGTTCCGAACTGGAATGCGCTCAACTTTCTCCATGGTTTTCGTCAACTGTATCAGCCTCAGAATTGTATTCTAGCAACGCAGGATTACCTGCGTCTTACGCGGCGCCTCAGCGTAATTATGGAGGAACAGAAGGACAACCCAGAGTTTATTGATTTCAGAAACAGGGTAGAGAACTACCAAGACTATTGCAATGCGCTGCTTGTGCGTGACAGCCAAGCTGCAACGCTGGGAAAACTAGGATCAAATGAGGCACCACAACTACAACTCTTGTTCCGGCGCTCCTTTACCTTTTTCTTGATGGCGGTCATTCTTGTTCCATTCTTCATTGTGGGCCTTCCGATTGGCCTCTTGGCGAAATTCCTATCGGAGCGTCACAGACTGAAGGCCCTTTCTGAAAGCAATGTAAAGGTTGTGGGAGCCGACGTGAAGGGATCGTATAAACTGACTGTGGGTTTTTTCTGCGTACCTATCGTGTTCTCACTCATCTCGCTCATTACATTCGTCTACACGGATCTTCGCACGGCGCTAACCGTTTCCTTTAGTCTTCCCATGGCAATGTATGTCTCTCTGCTGATTCTACAGGAGGCTGTGATGGAACTACGTGCCGCGCTACCGCTTTTTATGTCGCTTATTTCGAAGCATAAACAGTTTCGGAAATTGTATGAGCGGCGCCAGGCGTTAGTGGCGCTGACGAAGGGGCTTGTGGCAAAGTGGGATCCGGAGCTGGAGGAGGAGGTTCAGACGTACGTGCGCGAGTCTAAGGACGACATGAAACGGCGTGAGCCGTCGTTGTTTTCCCTGCGCCACAGCAGCCTTCGGCGTCTTGCGGACAAATCAAAATGAAATGGAAAGGAAGGGGGACAGAGAGAGAGTGTGTGTGTGAGAGTGAGAGGGACAGAATGAATGCTTTGGTTAGTTGCTATGCGGACGATATATCAAATGTAGGGAGGTACGAAAAAAAAAAATAAGCATGGGTTTTTTTTTGTATTCTAAATTCCCTCTGCCCATACAGCCACATCGTGGGGCGAAGTGGGCCTGCTTTTCACCGATTGTGTTTTTCGTTTTCCCCATTTTGTGTTGCTTCTTGAAAGCGGTGACGATTCCTCGCATACGCTCAGGATTCATTAAACCCGTACACCCTTCCGCCATATATTTTCTTTTTCGGATCTCCTTGACGAAATTGTTCCTCGCTTCTGCTTGTACTCATTACTCTTTCTTTTTGTTTTTTCTTTCCATCTTTTGTAGCGTTTTGCTCGCTAACACAGGGGAAGCCCTCCACTTAAGGTTGATTGGGTGTGTGCGGCGTTTGGCTTGAATAACCGATTTTCTTTTACCTACATCAATTGTGTGCGCTGTCACCGCCACTTGCTCATCCTATACGCCCTTCCTGTGTCTTGTGGTGTAAGCTGCTGGAGAACGTCGCCGCCCCCTTAGCGTGAGGACACATGCAAGCAATTATCACCACCGCGAAGCCTTCCGCCGTGGATGAGAACGAGAAGTACGACACGAAGGCCGTAGCGGCACCAGTGCTTGATTGGGCTGCAATGTACACACGCAAGCCGGCCGGGACGAGCACACTCTTTGCACTTGAGGCGATGGTGGCAAAGCGCATGGAGCTGCTCGCGTGGATCGACCAGCTGATGAACTCGCCGACTGTGAAAAGCTTTAGTGTTGTGCTTGACGAAGTTGGAGCGAGGCTGCCACTTGAGCGGCGCAAACGGGCTACGCAGCACACGACAGATCACGTCGTGCTTGGACGTGACGATACAACCGCCGCAGATGATGTCGGACGATCACGCACACCGCGACGTTCCACTTCACGTCCTGGAGCCACCGCTGCAAACACCTTTGTCTTTGAGGGAGATGAAGACCTCCTCTCGCATCTTCTTGCGCGGTACGCATTCTGTATGAGCGAGCAGTGGCGCAAGTGGTTTATAAAGACGGAGGAGACTCTTCTTCGCGCTCGTCTAAAGCTGCAACTGGCGAAATTTGAGGCCGACTTCCTCCCTAACCTCATGAAGGACAACGGCCTCCCGTGCGAGCCGCTCTCGGAGGAGCAGCGGCAGGATCCACGGCTCCAGGAGTACGTGGCGTACCAGGCGGCCTCGCAAGGGAAGAGCCAGCCCCGCAACCCTGAGGAGTACTTCTCCGTCCCGTTAACATTAGCCACGCGTCTAATCAAAAGTCGTAGTGTACTTTGTCTGAAAGGACAGGCCATTCTTCACCGAGATCAGGCACAGGAGGTGTTTATGACCGTCTTCCGTTCTAAACTGAACAAAGGCCTCCATGAAGCATATCTTGCACGAATGAAGTTGACTTCACACGAGGATGATGATGAACGAGAAACGGTGATGTGTATGCTTGATACCTTCTTGGAGCACTTTGTTTCGGATCCTGTGTGCGCCATGCAAGAGGCGGCGTCCGGTGCCATTGGCGCAGGCGATGTGCGCCGGCTCGCCGAAACACACTTTCCGTTATGCATGCGCCAGGTGGATGAGCATCTTCGCCGCGAGGGTCACCTGAAGCATTACGGGCGCCTCACGTACGGCCTTTTCTTAAAGGCGATTGGGCTCTCACTGCAGGACTCCTTAACACTCTTTGCATCTCTGATGACCCAAAAAGGTGGTGGCGGCAATGGCGAGAGTTTCGCTAAGACGTCATATGGGTACAACATTCGCCACAACTACGGCATGGAGGGTAAAAAAACGAGCTACAGCTCCATGTCGTGCGCAACGCTGCTTGGTCTTCCTCCCGTGGTTGATAGGTTCGACTGTCATGGCTGCCCATTTCGCTTCAAGGACGAGGGCGGCTTTCGGTCGATGTTGATGAAGGAGCAGCTGAACCCGCTTGGGAAGGAGCACGCCTCTGTTCGGTTAACCGCAAGTGACATTGAAGAGGTTGTACAGGACTGCAAGGGACAGCACTACACGCGTGCCTGTTACAGGTACTTCATGGCCACGCACCCTGGGGCGAGGCGCGACACATTGTTTCGCTCGCCATACGAGTACTACACAGTGAGCTGTGAGATGGCCGAGAAGGTGGAGGAGGCCGCGACTGAAGAGGGGACGCCGATGCGGCGGGCGGCTGCCGGCGATAACTTCAAACGCTCCATGTTCACCGCTACACTGAGGGAGGACGTTATCCGCCGGCAGACATCTTCGCCGCAGCGAGACGGGGGGGAAAAATAAACCACCAAGAGGCGGGGATCAGACCGCCAATCAGCGCGAAGAAAGGCAAGAAAAAGAAAGAAAAAGAGGTGGAAGTTCACATAGAGGGAAGGCTCGCCTTGGGATTTCATAGACTGAGAACGGGGGTGGACAAATACCCTTATATCTTTGCTTTGCGCGATGCTGACCGTTGTGCTCCGCAAAAAAAACAACAACACCAGGAACCAAAAGTTTGTTTTTGCCTCCCCTTTCTGAGTGTGTGTATGTGGGTGTGTCTTTGTTTTTATTGCGACAGGAAGCCTGGTTTCGTGTGTGCTTATGTGGTTGCTCCCTCTTGGTGGTGCCTCTCCGCTTTTTCTTTGTTGTCCCGTGCTTACTCTGCACCGCCAACACACACACACACACACACACACACACAAGGGAAACGGGAGAGAGCTCAAAACTGGTCGCGGTGACGCGGCATGCTGCGTCGCTCATGGGCTCTTCTTTGCGCCGCAAATGGCGCGGGTGAGCCACGGCGCAAAATCCGAATAGAGAGCGGCTACGAACGGGAGAACAAGAAGAACTACGAGGAACGTGGCCAGTTCTTCTCCGCCTTTACAAGTATGTCAATCATGTCACTTGGGTGCACCTTTCTCTTTGTGCCTCTCTATCGCATGTACTGCGCACCGACGGGTCGCGGCGCCGACCCGAAGTTCTACACCCCGCAGGCGCAGCGCGAGCGCGAGGAGATGGACAAGTCGTACCCGGTGCCGAAGAAGCTGCTCAAGGTGCGCTTCCTCAGTGATGTGGGAAACACCATGCCCATTGCCTTTGTGCCGCTACAGAAGGAAGTGGAGGTGCTAGTGGGGGAGCCGGCGCTGGCGTTCTACTCCGCGTACAACCGCAGCAACCGCACGCTGCTGGGTGTCTCGTCGTACACCATTGCGCCACCAGAGGCAACTAACTATCTGAACAAGATCCAGTGCTTTTGCTTTGAGGAGCAACGATTTAAGCCACAGGAGCTAGTGGAGATGCCGGTATTCTTTTACATTGATCGTGACTTTTTGAATGACCCATTAGTTAACTGGCTGGACGAGGTCATTGTGAATTACACATTCTTCAATCTAGAGAAGACAAAGGATATCATCTTCCGCTCGAACATGGCCTGAGCGAGTGTCAACGACGTGAAAAAAGAGGCCAGTAAGAAAAATGTCGGGGATGGGGAGGCGGATGGGGGATGAAGAAGGAAAGGAGTGAGCTGGAGTGATGCGGGAGGTTGGGTCGCGAAAGTGGAGCATCAGCAACGGCGACAGGCCTCCCACGCAACGGAATGATTTCTCCTCTCATTTGAACGAGGAGCACCTGATGCTGTTTGGAGTGAAGAAGAACAAAGCATCTTATGTTGATTTTTTTTTTCTTTGTCCTTTTCTGCACCTGCACGTTTCTTTTTGCAATTCATTTCTTTTTCCTTTGTCTTCCCCCCCCCTCTTCCTCTGGGTATGTGCGTGCCTCGCTGTTCACTGCGCCCACGGTGCTGTGCGCGTTTGTAGGTGTTCAGGCGCCCGCGTCGTGGTGTATCGGGGTTGGCATTTAACAGCCCGCCAGCAGTGCCAAAGGGAGGCAGTGGGCGGGAAAAAAAGAAGTGTGGACGAAAATAATTGAAAAATAAAGGCGGCATCCGTCAAGCAAGGAAGAAACGATACCCACAAACAAATGGGGGTTCTCATTGGGCGGCGTGAGCTCTTTGCCTTCGCGGAGCGCTACTCGTCGTACCGGCTGAAGGACTACACGGACCTGGTGGACGGCGTCGTGCTGTGCAGCCTCTTCAACGTGGTGTTCCCCGAACTGCGTATTCGCACCGCCTCTCCGCAGACGCACACGCTGTCGCAGCGCACGCAGACAAATTGGGCCGCGCTACGTGCCGCGCTAGACTCCGTTGGCATTCCACAGTCGCTGCTTGACCAGGATGCGCTGCTGAGGGGCGACGCAGAGAAGGGGTTCTCTGCACTTGTCCTCTTCTACTTTTTGTACCACCTCACGAAGCGCACCGATTTTTCTGCGGAGTTCGCCACCGACGTGACGGAGGCACTCACGGAGTTCCTGCAGTCCATTGAGTCTATCGCCGCTCTTGTTGCTGGCGGCGCACTGCACCTCAGCGCGGTGCCACTGCAGTTGCAAGAACAACTCCGCATTTTGCCTACTGGGCGGAAGAGCTGCGGTGCCCTGACACGAGATCAACAGAGGAAAGGCCGCAGTGTGTCTTGCTCGGTGTCTTCTTCAGACGATAGCGATGCGATTGATGGAAGAAACCTTGAGAAGCAGCTAAGCTTTGGCTCGGAGATGATGTCTGTGGATCGACGGCTCCCAGCGGAGGATGCGAGGTGTTCCGCATATTCGCCTGACGATGCCTCCGCTGATGCAGATCGTACACACCGTGTGCGCCGCGGGAAGAAATGTAACAAATTTGACCATAGAAGCAGAAGAATGAGCAGCAATAGCAGTGACAGCGACGATGACACCATCAGCAGTAGCCAGGTGAAAAAAGGCGAGCAAAATGCATTGGATGGTGCTGCGTTGCAACGTGAAGTTGAGCTGCAGCGAGCTCTTAATTCCAAGACAGAGGAATGTGAAGAGCTCAAGATGCAGGGCGTGCAGCTGCTCGCCCAGATGGCGAAGCTTCGCACAGAGGCAACTGTCAATACATCGTCATCATTGCCAATCGAAAAGGATGCCACTGAGCGAAGGCACGAGGAGGAGTCTCGGCGGCGACTGGAACTGGCGGAGGAAGAGATTGCACACCTCCGCCGCATCCTGCAGAACACGCGGCAGGAGCGTCGCAGGCAACTCTCGGCAAATGACGTCTTGGAAGCGGAGCTGCTGGAGGATATAGTAGACACTGAGACAGGTGAGGTCGTGAACGTTCATGAAATCGCGACGCTTCTGAATGGTGCGATTCTCGACGCCCTGCGTGACTCACCGCGGCGACGACAGGAGGCACAGAAATTGCTGTGGCTCATCGTGTCGGCGTACCACGTGATTGAGACGCGTCTTGTGACAGCGTGTGACGTGGCCGCCATGGAATGGCGTCACCTAAAAAGCGGTGGCGTCGTCGGTAGCAGCAGTAGTGACGGCCACAGCCCCCAAGATTGCTTTTCGGATCCGTGCTCTACGCCGAGCACCACCGCCAAGTTGGTGCACGCCCACCAGGAGGAAGTCTCACCCCACGCGTCGACGCCGTCTGCCACGGCATCCGCACTGCATGCACATTTGTCGAAGATGGAGGCAGAGATGGAACGACGGCAGCGGCAGTTTGAAGGGAAGCTTGCTGATCTACACAACAACGAAAGTGGCCTGCGCCAGCGCGTGCTTGAGCTGGAAGGACAGCTGCGCAGCTTCGCGCAGAAAGCGGTTGAGCGTGACGGCAGGTGGAAATCACTCTGCGCGGCGCTCCACGAAGCGGAGCGGACGTCGTTTCGCATCGCCGAGGCGGAGACAGCGACGGAGGTGGAACGGTTGCTGGCGCAGCGACAGTCGTGGTACGCCCGCGTAGAGGAAGGTTCTGCCGCACTGATGCAGGACAACCTTGAAGATGTCACGACGGGGGCCACCGGCGGCCACGACGTGTGCGAAGCGATGCAGACACTCGTGCAGAGCGTCACTCAGGAGAGGGACAAGCTGCAGCGAGAGGTCGCGTCGTTGCGGCAAGAGGCGCAGGCTGCGTCGCTGCTTCTGGGGACGAAGGACAACAAAAGCAAGCTTAAGGACGACATTCGCAGCCGTCTCGTGGAGCAGAGAGAGTACGAGGACGACGAGGTTTGGTTTGTGCGGGCCAACGCGCGGCCGCCATTCACGCTGAGTTGTCCATCAGTAAAGCAAACGCCGTCACCTCCACAGGCCGCCGCAAAGTCCTTGAATGAGCATGACATGCTAGCACCGACGGGGCGGAATCTTTCGGCTCTTTTGGCGTCAGTAACGCCGTCAAAGTGAAATGTTAGCAGCAGATACGCTGCGCAGTGCGAATAGATGATTTGGCTCAGTGCATTCTGGCATTGTGGCTTTATTTATAGAGATTATATATATATATATATGGAGTGCGGGGTGTGTGCCTGTGAGATCCCTGCGTCTACTTTGAAATGAACACTGTAGAAGGAGGAGAACCACAACCGCAACAACCAAAGAGTGGATGAAGCAACAGTGGTGGGAAAAGTCAGGTGAAGCAGGCCCCCCCCCNGCTTTCTACTTTGACCGCTGCCATTGCTACTATTGTGTTGTTTTCTTGCGTTATCTGCTATTGATTTCACCTTTATCTTTCTACTCTCTGCAAAAGCAGCAGCACTTGTAGCGATGGTTTACAGTGTTGCCGTCCCTGGTGTGTCCCAGGCGGATGTGCACGTTTCCGGGTGCAGCATGAACATCAAGGAGATCGACCTCGGTGCTGTCTTCTTCTCGCGTGAGGACAAGGAGACACTGGCCCTCGTCACTTCTCTCGATCTCTCTCAGAACCACATTGAACAGCTGCGTCACCTCGACGCACTGGTGTCTCTGACGCGGTTGGCTGCGAGCTACAATCAGATCGCCGTTATCGGCTCACTCCCCGTCACCATCACGCACCTGGACGTGGCGCACAACAAGTTGCTGTCGCTGGACGCCGTCGGCCAGCTGCCGCACCTGCGCGAGCTGAATGTGAGTTACAACCGCCTCAAGAGCCTTGCAGGGCTCGCGCACACGCAGCCGCTTCAGGTACTGCGTGCGGAGGGGAATCGTCTCGTGAGCACCGTCGGCTTAGAGGGCATGGCGCAGCTGCGTCTGCTGAGTCTCGACCATAACTGGATCGATAACGCCAACGAGCTGCTCTTTCTCTCCTCGACGCCGTCGCTGGAGATGCTCTCGCTGCGAGAGAACCCCGTTACAAACATGGACGGATATCGCGCACTCGTGGCACATCTGCAACATGCGGTGCTCTCCCTGGATGGTGTGCCACTTTTGAGTAAGGGGGAGACATCGCTCTTAGATTCAACAGAGTCGCCGCGGCCAATCACGCAGGCGGCACCGCAACCGATGCCGTTCTCTCCAGTAACACGCGGTGGCCCCACAAGTGTTCCGGCGCCTGAAACACACTTAACGAACTTTGCTGCCCACGATGATTGTCTTAAGGGCCGATTGGCGCGAGCGGCTGCTGAAGTTCCCGTAGGCCCCAAAAAGAGGAAATTGGCGGGAGCTGCGACGGGTGTTGTACGGAGGTGCGCAAGTACCGATGGCTGCAGTGCTGTCCCCTCCCTTAGTGACTCACAACACCGAGAAGAACAGTATCACCAGCACAAGCATTGTCAGCAGCCGCTGACGCTGGCGAAGGTAAGGTCTGCAGTTACAGTGCCTCGCGGGGGCAAAAAGGCAGCAATGGCTATCACTCCTTCCGCTGCGGATTCGACAATGGTCGTCGTTCCAGTATCATCGCATACCCTTGATCGAGAGTTGCACGATTCCAAAGTTCTGGTGGAGGAACTTCGTAAGGAAAACGAATACCTTCGCACACGCAATAAGACAGTCACAGAACAGCTAAAGGAGGCCCGGCGTGTGGTGTCCTCACAGTTGGACGATATCAGCGAGCTTCGGTTGCGATTAGGTGCCGCAGAGGAGAGGGAAAAAGAGTTAAAAGAGCGTCTGGACAAGATCAAACGTAATGCTCGCGTTGTTGATAGGCATTCGCACAACACTCTAGATGCAATGGCCATTGAGCAAGAGCGCTTGAAGGCTATTTATGAAGCGCAGGTTGCGGACTTGCGCCGCCAGTTGAAGCGCGCCCAACAAAAGTCTTCTACAGTTCCCAATTCAAAGGCGCCCCAACAACAGCTGCCACAACAACAGCAGCAGCAGCAGCAGCAGCAGCAGCAGGGCAACAAACAGCTCCAGCGCACTGTACAGAAAGCTGGATGTTTTGATGGTGATGATGGTGTAGAGGTTCGGCAAGTGTTGTTGGATGATACTCCGAGCACCGTCACTGGCGGCGACCACAGCGCGTTACTTCTCTTGCCAGCGGGTGAAACGGAGTTAAATACACCAAACCGTCCTCTCGCGCTTCGCGCCGCTGGCATCGGGAAACTCGCTGGTGAACTCAAGAGCTGGCTGTACGCTGAGATGGCCGAAGACGCACGACGGTCGGAGGAAGATCGTGTTCTGGAGCAACTGCGTCAGTCTCTTGAACAGAGCGACACCACTGTGACAGATCATCAGCTACTGCAACACCACCAAGACCAAGACCAACAACAACAACAACAACAACCGCAGCAGCAGCAGCAGCTGACCGCTGGTGCACCATATCTGATGCCTTCGCTCGAGTCGGCGCATCATGTAGGAAACACTAATGCGGATGTTTCGCCTCTCTTTGAGACAGAAACCATTGCTGGGGAGCTAAAGGAGCGTGCGACAGCACGTGCCATTGCGGGTCGAGTGATGGAGGTGTGCCACGACTCGCTGAGCCGCAGTGTTCCTCGGTTGTAGCTGCACTGTACCATCTTTGCGAGAGATGATGATGATGCTGATGATGATGGTGAGATTGCAGTTTCCATTTTGTGTTTTTTTTTCTGTGTGATTACCAACGAGCTTGCCGCTTTCTCCTCCTTACTATTCCTCCCTCACATTTGTAGGTGCAGCTCAGCGATACCGAAGCTGCTTGGTGTAGCCTTTTTTCCCTCCAGTCGTCCTAGTAGTAGGCCATGGTTTCTGTCAGTGATGCCAATGCGAGCCAGCACGTGTGCACGGGGAAGGAGTTACCGCACGTGGAGGGATTGCAGATCCGCACCCTCGACGACCCACGCGTGGTGGAGCGCATCCGCGTCCTAGACGAGTACTGCCTCGCGGTGAAGTACATGGACCACTATTACGATACGTACGTGAAGCCGTGTGCCCACCAATTCAACCAAGTTGCCTTCTACTATGATATGCTCATCGGTAGCTGCACGTGCCGCCTGGAGCGCACTGACAACGAGAACGAGTTTCGGTTGTACATCATGACCATTGCGGTGCTTGCGCCGTACCGCCGCCTTGGGGTTGGGAGTCACCTGCTGGACCGTATTCTGAAGAATGTGGAGGAGGCGAAGGTATGCATCCGCGAGGTGGCCCTCCACGTCCAGGTGGGCTCTCCGGCGTTGGAGTTTTACAAGCGCTTCGATTTCGAGGTGATGGAGAAGGTGGCAAACTACTATGCGGATCTTGACGAGTGCGACGCACTCCTCCTCCGCAAGGTTGTGCCGCAGCTGCGGTCCAAAAAGGGTGGTGCCAAAAATGGCAAGAGGAAATAAAAAAAAAAAAGAAAGACGAACTGAAAAGAGAGTGCGAGCGCTTTTTCTCTGCTCTAATCTTACTTCAGTGCTTAAACAACGCAATGATTCTCCACCCATATCTTTATATATAGGCTGAGAATAGGGAAGCCCCTCAACGTTTTCTGCCACCTCATTGAAATAATATGCTATTGTGTATTGCGGTTCTGCTCCCCTTTCTCTTTTCTCTTTTCTCTCTCTCTCTCTTTTCATCGCTTTTCAGTTGAAGTACAAGGATGCCGTACTATCCTACCGGAAAGGACCGCGATTCGTACATTTCAGGCGTACGTCCTGGTGGAAAGTTTGGTGCCCTCCATGATGTCAACAAGAGGCGCGACAACTTGCCGGGGCACGTCTTTGCCACCATCCGTGACGAGGTGATACAAGAGGAACGATCGCGGCTAGTCGACGAGGAGGTACGAGCGCGGGTGCGGCTTTTGTTGGCCTCAGGTAAGCAGGGCAAGCGCATGGCAGGCGGTGCCGTTGGGGATGAGCATCGTGAGATTAAGCGCGTGGAAAATATCGAGTCGGTGAATGCTCGCTACCGTGCGCTGTTGGAGCTCTACTCACAGGAGATGGAGCAGTGGAAGGAAGAGTTGACACAACGGGGCCTGTCTGTGGAGATGTAGAGCGAATGGGGGTGCTGTTGCTGCTTGTGACCATGTATCCGTGGCAAGTCGCGAAAGAAACACGCCAGGCGCGTGCGCATGAGAAGGAAAGAGAGAAAGGGATGGTGTATGTCCGTTTTTCTCTTTTTTTTTCTCTCTACCTCTCTTTTTGTGTGGATATGTGTATTCTATTTGTGGCGCTGCCCCCTGTTTTACCCATTCTTTTTTTTTTCGTTTCGTTCGCGTGTTTGTTTTCGGCACACAAGCAAACAAACAAACACAGAAGCATAGGAGGGGAAACATAAAAGAGTGTGTGAAGACTCTAGTTGCCATAGTTGTTGCTTCGATGGACGTTGTGCAGATAAAGACCGTGCTCGACGCTCGTCACCCCAACGTTGTGCGCGTGTTCCAGGACAGCGTGCCAGAGGTGTGGCTGCGGCAGCTCGATGAGTGCGTTCTCGAGTACCTGCTGAAGATGCTCGAGGGGCAGATGAACGCCGAGTCATACCTGCCGGAGGAAACCATCCGCCAGACGCTGAAGCTGTATTTCACTGAGTTTGCCGTCTGCGCGGATGAGCGTGCTGTAACGAAGGCGGTGGAGTCGATCTGCAGTACGATGGAGGCGTCTGGGTTGACACAGAAGCCGAAGGAGGACTCGAGCCGTCTCGTCAACGCTGTAAACATTGGGCGGCAGTACGAGGAGAACCTGAAGAAGGCAACCATGATCAACAGCGTTGGAAAGGTGGTGGTTGTGAACACCAACGAGAGCTGGACGTGGGAGACAAAGCGGAGCGCCGCCAAGGAGACACGCAGAAAACGAAAGGAAGAGGAAAAGAAATCCATGCTGGCAGAGGAGTACGAGGAGTTCCTGCGCAAGCGCGGCATTGCCAACGCTGCGACCATCGTGAAGCTGCACCACAAGAACGAGGGTGGGCAATTCAGCTGCGATATCCGCTGCGAGAACATTCACATCCATATGGGTAAGCAGGTCCTGCTCGACAACACGGAGTTTACAGTTCTCAGCGGCCACAAGTACGGGCTCATTGGGCGGAATGGTACAGGTAAGACGACGCTCCTGCGCGCCCTCTCGGAGCGGGAGCTGGAGGGTGTGAGCCCATTCGTGCAAATCCTGCACGTGGAGCAGGAGGTGGTTGCCGGCAGTGAGACACCGTTGCAGGTCATCCTTGCATCGGATGTAGAGCGCGAGCAGCTGCTTCGTGAGGAGCAGGAACTCCTTAAGCGCAGCGACGACGAGGCGAGTTCACGGCTGAAAGATGTGTACGAGAGACTCGACGCTATTGAGGCGCACAGTGCGGAGGCCCGCGCCGCGTCTATTTTGAACGGTCTGAGTTTCTCACGCGAAATGATGACGAGCCCCACAAAGAATCTCTCTGGTGGGTGGCGCATGCGTGTGGCGTTAGCGCGTGCGCTGTTTGTGGAACCTGACGTGCTGCTGCTTGATGAGCCAACGAACCACCTTGACCTTTTTGCGGTTTTGTGGCTCGAGCAGTTCTTGAAGGACTGGCGTCGCACCCTCGTTGTGGTGTCTCACTCTCGCTCCTTCTTAAACAACGTGTGTCAAGAGATTATCCACCTGGACGATAAAAAGTTGCAATACTACACTGGAAACTACGATCAGTTTGAGCTTACGCGCGTGGAGCAGTTGCGACAGCAGCAAAAGAACCACGAAGCACAGGAGCGGCAGCGCTCACACATGCAGAAATTTATCGACCGGTTTCGTTATAATGCGAATCGTGCGAAGATGGCACAATCGCGCATTAAGATGCTTGAACGCATGGAGGTTGTGTCAGCTGTAAAGTACGACCCGCAATTCTCATTCAGCTTTCCTGAACCGGAGCCTGTGTCAGGCTCATACCTACAGATGGTGGACTGTGAATTCGGCTACAAGCCCGGTCAGGCACTCTTTCGGGATGTGAATTTCGGACTTGATGAGTCCTCCCGCCTTGGCCTATTGGGCGCGAACGGTGCGGGGAAGTCGACGTTCATGAACCTCTGTCTTGGAAAACTGGAACCGCGTCAGGGCCACGTTGTGCGCAACAAGAAGATACGCATTGCCCACTTTGCGCAGCATCACTTGGAGGCCCTCACACCGCAGCTCTCTTCCATCGAATTCCTCCGTTCGAAGTTTCCACACGTGGAGGACCAGCAGCTGCGCGCCCATCTCGGTTCCCTTGGCCTCACTGGCGAAAAGGCGCTGCAGCCTATTTACACACTCTCCGGTGGACAGAAGTCACGTGCGGTGCTGGCGTGGATTACCTTCACTCGACCCCACCTGCTGCTACTGGACGAACCGACCAACCATTTAGACATCGACGCCCTCGACGCTCTTATCGAGGCGCTTCTGGAGTATAAGGGTGGCCTGCTTGTAATCTCTCACGATGAACACTTTATTACATCTGTTTGCGACGAGATGTACGTGTGTGCCAATGAGAGTATCAAGCGTTTCGATGGAGACTTCGGCGAATACCGCGAGATTGTTCTCAAGCAGCTGCGCTAAGGTTCTTATCATTTAAACAAGACACAGAAAATAAGATCAAATTCACCCGAGGAGAATTCTTGTCACATGACGGTGCTTTTGTTTTTCTCCATTACTTCTAGGGTGAACTTTTTCCGTTTCGGTTTTATCTTTCTCTTTGTATCTATTGCCAATCTGTAGTAAATATTACTGTTTGTTTGCCATTCTTTTTTTTGTTTTGTTTGTTTATTAGCAGCAGAGTGATCGATGGCGAAGCAGCAGAAGAGCCTCTTTGACTTTTTCGCCAAAAAGAACGAGTCCTCTGCTGCTGTTGCCGTTGAAGCAGCAGCAGCTGCAGCAAATGAGAGGGGCATGGGGAAGGAGGAGCTGCCGCTGGTGGTGCTGTCATCGTCAGTGGCACCGAATTCAGCACCGACGGCGTCGACTGCGTTTGGTGTGACACCGTCGGCCGGTGAGTCCTCCCGTGCCGATTCTAATGAGACGGTGCCACCGCGAGCTGATGCAGAGGGGCGCCGCAGCAACGCGGCGCTTGGGACGTGCTGCGGCGCCAAGCGATGGCGGAGTGCCGTTCAGACATCCCTTGACTTTGGCCAAAGCGACGCTGGAGGTGTGACAAAGTGCCGCCTGTGCGGAATGGTTTTCAACGCCACGGTGAAGGAGGACGTCTGCTTGCATGCACGCTGTTGCACGGCGTTGTCGTCATCATCGCCGTCGCCATCATGGGCCAAGAAAAGCAGATGCGGCACTGAGGCCACCGACGCGTGGCTTGCCTCGGAGTTATTGGGCAAGTCACTTGAGAGCATGGTACATCATCAACGACGAGGCGCTGCAAAAGCACCGGCTCGCTGCAGCAGTGGAGACTTCTGCGTCCGGTTACCAGAGTCGGTCGACGATGAATTTATGTGCTACGTGTTCGACTGCAGCAAGCGCGGCTTCGCAGAGGACGCGGTGGCGATCCGCCTCGCAGAGGCATTGCGGTTCCCTGACGTTGTGTTGCCCGCTGCCGCGTACTGCCTTGTTGTGATGCTCCATCGCCGTGCAGGGCGGCTTTTGTGTGCCGTTGCGGGAAGGCCGTCGACGCGCGAGCAGGACCCCGCGCTGGTGGTGCGGCGCGATAAAGACGGCACCACAACACGCTGCGGTACACGCACATGTGTGACGTTCTGCGACGTGCCGTATGTGTGGTGCCAGCGTGACGCTGTGCTCGCTGCGTCGGCGTCAGACTGGTGGCCGGCTCGCACGGTGGCGGCGCTGCAGTCGACGGGTGCGGCGGTGCGCGACTTCTTCTCCCAGCGCGGTGGCGGGCACGCGGAGGAGCAGCAGCAGCGGCTGCACACGCTTGTGGACGCTGCGCTGCATCGTTCCGTGATGGCGTTGGGTCGCCACGTTGTGTACGGCCACGCGCTGTCCCCGCGTGCACAATTTTCGTACGATAACGTTGCCCTCCGCGAAGACGTGCTGGACCGCGTGGCGGCTGTCACGGCGTGCGACAACGATGGCGAAGACGCGTCACCCCTCTTTACGCACGCGGGCGGTTGTGGTGACGTAGCGAATGACGCTGAGAGTGAACTGTCGGTGGTATCGTACGGTGACTGAAGGGGAGTTTTGTTCCATAGATGCAACACCACATCCGGACGAGCGACTTGCTGCAGCAGGGGTGTTGCCTGCGTGCTGTGGGTGGGGCTCTGCGGGGAGTGAAGAGAGAGAGATAGTGACGGAGGGAACGTGGGGATTTGTTTCTCTATGAGTGTGTATCCATATCGTTCTCTGTCTGTTTACACATATATATATATATGTGTGTGTGTGTGTGTGTGATGACTGGTAAGGAGAACTGTTGCGTACTGGCTTCTCAGTTCTTCGTTTTTTTTTCCTTGTTTTCCCCCCTCCTTTGCCGTACCGCCTCCCTATTCCTTGTTTGTTGTTGTGCAATCAATCCGAAGAGGCCTGTTAGCAAGGAGGTGGGTTTTTTCTTCTGTTTTGAAAAGGAAGCAGGCGACAGGTAAAGTTCCTTACGAAGAAGAGTTTTGTTTCTTCGTTTTTTTTTTCTCTCCGCAATCGCCCATAAATAGACAGAAGCAACAAAGACAGTATTATTATCATCAACAGTTATCTTTTCTCTTCTGTTTCGCACTTCTCAGTATAGAGGCGCGAAACTGACGCGACTCTTCTCTGATGCCCTCTCTCCCTATTATTCTCGGTCCACGCTAGTTATTTGTTAAAACACACGCGCTGTCCAACGTCCTTACAGCCGATCCGTCACCACATAACACACAAAACAACACAATACAATCCCCACGCACACACACACACACACACACAAGCACCAACAAAAACTTGTATTTTCCTTCTATCTTCTACACATTAGGGGAGCTACTTTGTTGTAACTGTACATATGTACCAGGATCGCTGTATCTTCTTCTCCAAGATGGGCGCGTGCCGCCATGGTGATCACTGCACAAAAGTCCACGTGCGCCCAGCGACGTCGCCAACGGTACTGCTCCCGATGATGTACCCGAACCCCATGGCGATTGAGCACATCCAGGACCGACAGTGGGACTTCCAATTTGAGCGCAAGTATCTGAAGCGGCACTTTGAGCGCTTCTACAAGGAGACGTGGCGCACCTTCATGGAGCTGGGCCGCATCGCCGAGCTGCGCGTGGTGAGCAACCTTGGTGACCACCTTCTTGGCAACGTGTACATCCGTTTTGAGGAGTCCAGTGACGCCGTCCGAATTGCGCGTGAGCTCAAGGCGAAGAAGTTGAACGACATTATTCTTCTTCCGGAGTTGAGCCCTGTCACTAATTTTGCTGAGGCCTGCTGCAAGGAGGACCTTGAGGGGAAATGTGGCCGCGGTACGCAGTGCAACTACCTGCACATCATTAAGGTCTCACGCAAGCTGTTGGATAGACTCGAGAGGGAGCAGGCGAAGTTCTGGAAGAAGAAGGACAAACATAGCAGCGGAAGTGACCGTAAGCGTGACCGCTCGAAGGAACGTGGCAGAGACCGGTCCAGGTCACCACGGCCATACGCCAACGATCTGTGCCACATCTGCGGCAAAACAGGTCACATCTCCCGCGACTGCCCGCTGAAATGACAGGGGAGGGGGAAAAAAGAGGTAAATAGCCTGCAGTTGCAGGATCAACAGTAATGACGACTCTAATGCAGCATGAGGCATGGTGCCTATGATAAATGCCAGTCTCCTCACCCCTGAAGCTGGCTGGCAGAGACACGTTTATAGGCCTTGATGAGTCACACTTTTCTGGTCTCACTCCTGCATTTATGCGACGCTGCTGCAGATGAAATATGATGATGATGATGATGATGTTCGGTAAGAGAGTGGTTTTAGTAACATGCCGGTGTGCAAGATTCAGAGAGACACAGATATTGCAACAACTACAGCGTCAAAGAGAGAGGGAAAAGAGAAAAAAAAAACAGAACGCTGGCGAGTGTGGAGTGCATGCGTTAAACACTGTTCTTCAAGCTCTGTTTTTTTTTTTCTCATTCCTCTTTTGTTGTTTTTTTTGTCTCCTCCTTTCGTTTCTGCCTTTCGCCCCTCTTGCGTGAAGGAAAGAAATAAAGCGAGTCGAGGAAAAGGACCCTTAAGAAAAAAAGCCACCAATCAACACTATCAGCACCAGCACCAGATAAACAAACAGGACTATGTTGCGTCGCACCCTGCCATTCGCCTTCGCGTATGCGAAGTGCCCTCCCATCGTGAATGAACCGATGGACGCGTTTGAGCCGGGTTCGGCCTCCGCGAACGGCACGCTGGAGGCGTGCAAGCGCCTGCGTGGCGGCGTCACCGATTGTCCAATCGTCATTGGTGGGAAAGAGTACCGCACAGATAGCGTCATCCGCCGCATGATTCCATCTGATCACCAGCACCACCTTGCAACGGGATACAATGCGACGCCCGACTTGGCACGAAAGGCCGTAAACACCGCCCTCGAGGCCTCGCAAACGTGGAGCCAGACCCCGTTCCGCGACCGCGCGGCCATCTTCCTCCACGCGGCACACCTTATATCGACGAAGTACCGTCACGAGTTGCGCGCGGCGACGATGCTGGGGCAGAGCAAAAACCCATTCCAGGCGGAGATTGACGTGATTGCTGAGTCGTGCGACTTTTTGCGCTTCTCTGTGAAATTTGCAGAGGAGCTGTACCACAATCAGCCACTGTCACCGAGCAGTGGGTCTATTTGGAACTCGCTCGACTACCGTCCGCTCGAAGGCTTTGTGACGGCTATTGCACCGTTTAATTTTTCTGCTATTGCTGCAAATCTTGTCGCATGTCCTGCATTAATGGGAAATGTTGTGTTGTGGAAGCCGTCGCCCAACGCGGTGCTGTCCAATTATGTGCTCTACAAAGTATTTGAGGAGGCCGGTCTCCCCGCTGGTGTGGTAAACTTCATTCCGTGCGAACCGGACGTCATGTGTGAAACCGTGAATTCTCACCCTGACCTCGCCGGCGTCGCCTTTACCGGCTCTACAAAGGTGTTTATGTCAATTAACAAACAGATATATTCCCAATTGGAGGAGTACCGCAATATCCCGCGCATCAGCGGTGAAACAGGCGGGAAAGATTTCCACTTGATTCACCCATCAGCTGACATGAAACAAGCTGCGGCGCTAACCGTGCGTGGTGCGTTTGAATATCAAGGACAGAAGTGCAGCGCGACGTCTCGGCTGTATGCCCCGAAGAGCCGGTGGGAAGAGCTAAAGGGGTACATGCTTGAAGTGCATGGTCAACTCAAGATAGGGCAGCCCGACGACTTTCAGAGCTTCATGTGCGCTGTTATTGACGAGACTGCCTTTGACCGAAACAAGAAATACATTGACATTGCCAAGGCGGACAAGGCTAATTACACTATTCTCGCTGGGGGCGAATGTGATAAGTCTCAAGGATGGTTTGTGCAACCAACAATCATTGAGGCGAAGGACGCCCAGGCACAACTCCTGCGGGAGGAAATCTTTGGCCCTATACTGACAGTGTACGTGTATGACGACAGTAATCCAGGTTACTGGCCTGATGTGTGTGATATCGTCAACCGCACCACTAAGTACAGTCTCACGGGGAGTATTTTTGCTCAAGACCGTGAGGCTATTCGTCACGCCACGTCGAAACACCTGCGTTATGCGGCGGGCAATTACTACATCAACGATAAATGCACAGGTGCTGTTGTGGGCCAGCAACCGTTTGGTGGCGCACGTGCGAGCGGGTCAAATGACAAGCCTGGCAGCCCACTTTTCTTGACGCGGTGGGTGTCGGCGCGCACGATCAAGGAAAACTTTGACCACACCTCGCAGGTGTCGTACCCCCACCAACTGCCAGACAACGTGGCTGTGTAAGAAGGATAAAGCAATGAGCAATGTGAGTGCACACCCACGTGTTTTTTTTTTTTTCTTTCTCTCTCTATATATATATATATATTTATATATATGTCTGTGTGGGGGGTATTTAGATTTTTTTTTCACATTATCAAATGAAGAGACAACGAAAAAAAACGGAAACGGAGAATTTATTTTGCTTTCTATAAAGATTATGAAGAAAAAA